TCCCAGTCTGGAAAAAAATATAAGACAAGTTAGCATGTGGCTTTCATGAATTATTCTTTTAAACAGGACCTAATTAGAGGTGCTTATCTCTTCCCTCAGATTTGCAGAAGACATGTTCCCAATAAATCCTTTAAAAAATCTTTTCAATTTGTTACTCTTGTCTAAAGCACTTCTCCAGAAAATCCCAGGATCAATAGTGAACTGATTTCATTATAATCAGTGAGGTCAAATAAATATGGCTGTATGGTTGGATGGCCCGAATGATGACATCATGAAAATATCCTTCAAAATAGGAGAATGTACCCAACATGGATGGAGCCGACGTAGGATCAGCAAATGCTTATCACGAACCTGGTGGTCAGCTGGTCAGTGTGAACTTTTCACAATCACACCCAAAGAATGACACAAGTATTATCAATTAGCACAATCAAAGCAAAAATGTGACCTTTGTTATTTCTGAGACTGTTTGGGAAGGTCAAAGAGGAGAGATTTCAAGGTGGTTGTTCGCATGGACAACGTGCCTTTACCCTTCTGCAATGTTGCACATGTAAGCTGTAATTAGATTAGGTCAGCAAAATATCAGCCATTGTGTGGATTTGCCACGTGGATGTGACTAAATGCCGTGCTGATAGTTGTAGGTTGATTGTACAAGCTTGTGTTTGGCATCAGGCTCGCAGTTTGCTTTGGTGTACTCTTTCAATTAGAAGGAGAGAAACTGAAGAAAAAGTTATTCTGTCAGTTGCTAACTGGCGTATAAAAACTTTGATTGATGGTGCTGTCTTAAGAATGCTGAGGCTATTTTCAAACATGAAAGATAAATTATGCTGCAAACCATTTTATTGAACGTAATGGTCACAAGGGTCATCTTCAACCTTTGACCTTTGCTGAAGAGACCATCCTTGACCTTGATGAACGGAGATCTTAGATGTGATTGTGCAGTTATTGGGTGAAGTCCCAGGAGATAAACGCAGCTTTACCGGGAACAGTATATTATCTTTTCATTGCACTTCAATCCCTTATGTATTGTGTATGTCCCCAGTAAACAAGCCAAGTGTTCCATGGCGCTGGAAGAAAGACTTGGCATCCGGTACTCAGCATCCATGTAGAACCTAGCATTGTCAGGAGGGGTGCTGGAATAATACAGACCAGCAATAGGATGTGAGAGATACTTGGTGTGATCAGATATGTCAAAGTGGTGGAGCATTGAATAATCAGGAAGCTGTTCAAAAGTTGGACGTCAGATACTGATTCCTAATTCTTGGGGTTGGGAGGGTTAATCAGGTTTGCAAGTTTTCCAGCTGACAAAATAAACTTTTCTTTGGATTGTAAATTCAAATCAGCGAATGACAATTTGGCAACCTCAATACTGCCATCATTTGCCCCTATCACTGCAGTATTGCATTCTCAGTACTGCAACCTCGCACCCTCAATACTGCAACCTCGCACCCACAACATTGCACAAATCTCCCACCGAGTCACACCCAGAACACTGCAACCTCGCACCCACAACATTGCAAAAATCTCCCACGAAAGTCGCACCCTTGACACTGCAACCTCGCACCTACAACATTGCACAAATCTCCCAAGAAATTCGCACCCATGACACTGCAACCTCGCACCCACAACATTGCACAATTCTCCCAAGAAATTCGCACCCTTGACACTGCAACCTCACACCTGCAACATTGCACAATTCTCCCAAGAAATTCGCACCCTTGACACTGCAACATTGCACAAAACTCCCAAGAAATTCGCACCCTTGACACTGCAACCTTGCACCCACAACATTGCACAAATCTCCCACGAAAAGTCGCACCCTGGACACTTCAACCTCACACCTACAACATTGCACAAATCTATCACCAAGCTGCACTCTCAACACTGCAACCTCGCACACACAACATTGCACAAATCTCCCGACCAAGTTTTGTATACCCCCAGGTAATCAAGGACAAATCTTTTGCCAAACCCATTCACCATTTAGAAGTGAATATCTTAGAGTGGTATGAAGATATTGATTTTTGCTCTCTGTCCCCTTGCCGCCAACACCAGCTGTTTATTAGGGTTGCAGTTAAAATGCCGGAACCCTCTTGTATTGCGGTTAAACTGCCGGAACCCTCTTGTAGTACGTTCAGCTGCTCTCAATATCACTCATTCAAGTTGACCCACACTGTGTGCATTAAACAAAATGCATTGATCAGTTTTCAGCCATGTTGTTTTCACAAAGTGGAAGTAGTTGTCTGTAATTAGGGTTTTGTCTGTCGAGTGGTTTGAGGAACAATTATGGATTTGATACTGTTAGCTGAGACTGTTCTGTTTGCAGCCAATGATGTCACTTTGAGGGAGTATCAAATGGAGACTTTGATGTTACTTGGTGTCATAGTGAATAAGTCGAAAGTCAATCCATTGAAACCAAGAAAAGTACAGGAAGGGCATTATTTAGATAAGACATTGATTAAAATGTCCCCTGTTTGTGAGATCAACCATAAAAACATATGCTGGCCCTCGATGGAACATGGTAGGAGTCATGAATAGATTTGAAAATTTCTTGTAACAGAAACAAAATCAATAAATGGAAACACATTGTTAAACTGAACCAGATTTACCGGTATTGAAGATATGACCAAGTCAGGTTTGCTGAAATGTTGGCCGTGATGAACTCACTTCTGTCCCCAAACATTTGAATACCAAATTTAAATACATCCAGTTTAATGATCCTTTGGAGTTTGATAAATTCACTGTTTGCTGTGGCAATCTGTGCCAATATGTGTTGTGTCTACTAGACGAATCCTCAGCCTTCTTCATCTGTTTCAGGATATTTTCTCTTGACATATGGACTGTCTTTGATCAAAGAAACATTTCAAGGCTTTAACATAAAAGACTTGTGGTTAATGCTGCAGACTTCTGTAACCATTACAACAGATCTTTTGATTCCAAATAATCATGGCAAAAGTTAACTATATGTTTCTTACAAAAAATATATGTCACAAACTTTTACAATCATGTTATATCTACACTTAACAATAGTAGTCAAGTTTCTACTGTGCAAAGAACAGCATCATTAAGTCGTTAATTATTTGAAGGTTTCACAATGTTTACAAGGTCAAGGAAAGGTTATCGCTTGTTCCCTATACAAAATAATTGTTGCAGTTCCTCATTATGTCCAGGTTACAGACCGCGTCTGCTCAGTTTGTGTTTTACAGTATGCCTGGTATGCCCACAGCCATTGTAAAATCTAGGCTGGACTACAAACAGACCATAAATCACTTTCCAGGCTGTGACTGTTTTCATTGATATGGACGACTACATTACACGTTATTTCGACAAATCGTCCTAAAGTCGTCCCAAATCTGCTGTCATGGCCTTATGTTTGTGTGTCCATCCAGAAACCTAAACGAGGAGGCTCAGAGTTAAAGCTCTTTTATGATGGTGTAGATTGGGGTGGTTTTAGAAGACAGCAACAAAAATGGGCTAAATTACACCTATTTTCTCATTAGGTTCTGAACAGAAGAAACCCTCTTTGTAATCTTGAGCTTATAATATTAGGGTTGGAATGTTTAGTGGTCTAGTGACGAGTAGGAGAGAAGTGGAGTTAATAAAATATGATACCTAGGGCATTGGAATTGGTGATTAAGTTGATAAGTGGTTTAATATCACACATTGTGGCTCCACCTATCTTTATTTTTTTAGGATTGACATCAAGTTAGCAACTCTCACTGGGTTCTCTGAATCTGGAGGGCCCATGAAATGGGTCAGTGTGTTTCAACAACTCGGTGCATTCAAATTATGATGGTGATGAGAATGATGATGACGGTGATGAGTTTGTGAAGATGATGATTTGGGCATTGTTGTTCATAGTGTTGCAGTGTACCGTGATAGTTTGGTCATTGACCCTATAAAAAGACCAAGTGACCTCAGTTTTAAGAATAGAGGTCCATTGGCGGGACATACATGAAATTGGGCCCATTCTACCAAGTGATTGTATCGCTAAGAAGATTTAGCTCATATACTGTCACACAGACTTATGATCACTGTAGCGTTGTGATTGCTTTGTGGGACAGGGCTTATTATTTTTACAAGTATTGGGTCACTTGACCGATATTTACTCAAATAAAACTGAAGATCTAAGTTGTTGATGGTGATTATCATTATGAAAATGATGAAAAGATCGATGATGATGATGATGATGATGACGATGACGACGACAACGACGATGACGATGACAGAGAGTATGTAGATCACGATAATGCATGTTGAAATAAGACACAAACATGGCTGCAGAATGTCGACAAAAGCTACATGTTTCAACAACATTACCAAAAAAACAAATACCATTAATTCCTGTCACATCTTTTGCATGTGTCTGTGAAAGTGAGCTCAGTCTGCAAATAAATTGACCTTGAGCACAGAGCCTAATTTGGGAGTTTGCTTGTGGATGTGTTACACTCTGTAAGTACAGTAAGCCTCAAACAAACATGACACTTGAGTTCAAGTCAACATCGGAGGACACCCGAGATGTGTCGTTACATATAGGTGATGAAACCACCAACTTGTTATCATACCGGGAGATACGGATGTTGGGTGTGTGGAAGATGGATAAGTTGATGTTTACGCTGCATTGTATAAAGTTAGTCATAACTCCATAAGCGCAAAAAGACCTTGACGTCAATTCCTATAAATAAATATGTCAACAAGATAACTTCACAGACTGCATATTTTATTATTTACACACAAAAAAATGTAGACAACTATATGAAATCAGCTCAATAATGCTACACAATCCCTGCCCATTCTATTAATTAGTCAAGAAACAGTATGCCATTAGTGGGCGTAGCCTAATAATTTTGGTTAATGCAAACATATACGCAAAAAATTGCTTGATTAGCCAATCAAATGCCTCATACAGAACCACTTGCAATTTATTGATATGGATATTTTCAAGTAAAACGTTACTTAAACTTAGGTTATTGTTTTTATTCATTGTGATGTTTTTGTTCCAGGCTGTTCAGGCTCTTGGCCTTGCCATTTACCATGCAATGGATTATGGGATGGGAGAGACGGAAGAGAGACAACTCTCTCCCGATCTCGAAGACCTCATCGGTCACATGACCGAGGAAGATGATGATGATGACTCCACATGTGCTGATGATGAAGGGATAGAGAAAGACGCTGAGGATGAAGAAGACAGACATAGACAGGGAAAGCATGGCTACTGCTTTTACGATATTGCACAGGTAGGTGTTACAAGCAATATTTGTCACATTATATGTGGCAATGTGTCACCACTATCATATGTTCATATGCATCCTGTTGGGGTTTCCGGGTTAGAACTGGTCCCCAGTAACCTGTGCTTGTCGTAAGCAGTGACCAATTAGATTGGTGGTCAGGCTGGGTGTCTTGGTTTATTGCTTGTTAACTATGCCAGATGCTCATAATATCAACCTCTGGATTGTCTCGTCCACACTTGATTATGTACGCCTATCATATCACTGGAATACTGCTGAAATCAGCAAACAAAACATAAGCAGACACGTCCTCTCAGCGACCATCAGATGTTTAACACTCAAACCATTGTTTCAGCTGAACATTTTCAAAAGAATAATTACTTCAGACACTGCAGTGAACAGCCAATCCTTAGTGAGTGTGTGATTTAAAATTTAACGTAGCATCAGTTATGTCTCGGCCATATTGCGACGACAGTCAGTTCTTCAGAAGGAATGTATGACCTTGTCCAAAGATCCGTACACTAATCAACTTGCAATAGAGATATTTCTCTTAATCCATCATACACAAAACTGATTCCATATATGTATATTTTTATACATTTAATATATAATTCAGTATTAATCCCAAACAAAAGTTGAGTGATTTTGCCAGAGACCATAGGCAGTAAGACATTTGCATGACACTCACCCGTGAAGATCAGGGGTAGAATAAGTCTTCAGCAACCCATGCTTGCCAAAAGGCAACTAACAGGATTGGGTGGTCAGGCTCGCTGACTTGGTTGATGCATGTCATTGTATCCCAATTGCGTAGATCGATGCTCATGATGTCAATCACTGGATTATCTGGTCCAGACTCGATTGTTTACAGACCGCCATCATATAACTGGAATATTGCTGAGTGCGGCGTTAAACAACAAACAAATAAACAAACAAACAAGAGACACTCAGGGGAGATTTTGTGAATTATCCAACATCATTCTTAACTATGAAGAACAAGTTTTTAAAAATCCACGACAAAGTTCAACATCGTAAAAGTTTATCTGCTTAGTGCTACAGCATTGTCAGGTTGCAAATGAAGACGAACAGCATTTCTTTTGAGTATCACTTTCATCCCCCAAAAGTAGTTAAAAAAACAACAAGAACTTATGGCAGAAAAATGTCACTTATAAAGTTTATCTTAAAACTGTGTATGATTTTATGTCATTTGTAGCTTTAATTAATTATCCTTGAAAGTTCAGGGCAAAAGATGACCTATTAAGCAACAGGTTTGTTCATGCTCATTGATTGCACATTTGCTTTAGACGTAATCAAATACTAAACCAAGGCTGCTTAACAAATTAGTGTTTGTCATCCGACATAATCATATAAATTCAGAGTCTGTGTGTTTCTCTTACAAACATGCCATCGGACATTGCTCAACAAACAGAGGACATTACGAGCTTCCTGTGACCCCTCGTTTGTTGAGTATGGATTAATGAACGTTTGAATAAATATACTTATTATGTATACGAGGGGCTCGGGGGTCATCCATCATGGCTGCCACTTGAGGACATAGGTTAATACAAAGTGGGTGTACAAAATAAGGTCTTAAGTTTGTATCTCTTAGCAAAAACAGTTAAATACACAAGTTATAGTTTTTTAAAAATGATTGTTATTGTCACATTGTTAGGTAACTTTCCTGGATTTTGATGCTTGTTTGGAAAACTGAATCTGAAATGAGAATAACTAATTGTTCTTAGCATATTGGGAGGATTATGGCCATGATAAAAAGATATGGATTCTCAAAAATGAAGGTAGCCTGAAAAAAGTACAAAATCAAATTGAATGTTGCAGGGAATTTTGAAACAAGGCTATAAAATCTATTTTAAACACTTTAAAACTTGTTTTGATCTTAATGGTTATGAAAAAATGAGAATATATTTTGCATTCACTTTAATGCTTACCTTTGTAATTGATGGTACTTGGTGTATGAGAAATGTCATCCTGACCCTGATATGTTTGTGATTCGTGTCTTAAACTGCTGCATAAATCATGAACTAACAATTCACAAAGAGACATCTTTGTATACATCCTGTAACACAAGATTAAATGGTTATGGTACGTAGATCACACATTCTGACTGGCACTGGCGTTTGTTATGCATAGTGTAAAAGAAACCTTTCAAATATGCAGTATGTTTGAATAATGTTAGCATATGCGACCACCTCCCCAAAGCTTCTCATATTTGATATTCAAGACAGACACTCATTCATGGGGCTATGTTTTGTTGCAGTGTCTTGTTAATTTCTGCAGTGTGCTGTCCGGCTCCATGCTGTGTCCATATTGTGCAAGGTCAAGGTGATCTTGATGTAGATTCATTTAACATGTGTCAGTATTGGTTGTTACAATGGACTTGAACAATGAGTTGCTGTGGTTGAAATTTCGCTGACTATAGAATTTATACTGTCACTTTCTTGAAATGTTTATTATGAAGAGGATTACTGAGATTGTTAATTAGATGATGATGAGTATGAATATCCTGATGAGAATAAGGGCATGGTTATCAAAAGTTATTATCAAATTGTCTCTGAGCTGGTCTAAATAAATCCATATCAAATCTTGTTGAAGTTCACTCTCTCAATATTTTTTCTTATCTTGGGGCTGATTAAAATCCTTGAACTGTTATGAAGGCTTCGGCTGACAGTGTAGTGACAGGCGGACATTCTTCAATGGATATATCTTTGTTATTAACACAAATGTAGTGTGCCGATAAATGTCCTTGTTCCCATGTGTTTGGATCAAGTCATGTGACCAAACATTCCACAGTCTTCCACCTCCCTGTCATAGATGTTTTAGGTTTCTGTTTCTCAAGGCCATTTATTTAATAGATGAAAAACAAGGTCACTGGAGTTAATAAGCTTTCAAATCCACCCCAGAAGGTATTTACGCCCTGTTGAAAATCATTTTGACACGTATGATGGTTTCTGGGTCAAAATGTGAAGGGAATTACTGCAATGATCGTTGAAGGGTAAAGACATGTATATTTTCTTTACATCTGATGACAGAATGTGAAGTGATCATACACTTCAAGGAAAAAGGGTTTTGACATCCATTGGCCCTTGACTTCAGAACCATTGTGTGGATTAATTCAGCAGAAAGGGTCATTGACAACATTTAACCTGAATTTCATCAGTTTTCAGTGAAGTAGACCTCATTAAGACACCTTACATCTGAAACTGTTTGCTGTCCAGTGCTCCATGAAACAGATCTGGGAAGATTCGGGGTAGAAGAGGTCTTCAGCAAACCATGCTTGCTGTAAAAGGCGACAGTGCTTGATGTAAGAGGCGACTAATGGGATCAGGTGGTCAGACTCGCTTCCAAGGTTGATGCATGTCATTGTATCCCAATTGCGAGGATCGGTGCTCATGATGTCAGTCACTGGATTGTCCGTCCAGACTGGATTATTTACAGACCGCCGTCATATAGCTGGAATATTGCTGAGAGCGGTGTTATACAACAAACAACCAAACAATGCTCCATGAAACACCTACAGATACCATAGGAGCAGATGTCATATTAATACCTTGGTCAAATTGCGTTGGCGAAACCTCTGTTGTCATAGCAACATTTGGTTTGATAGGTATCTGATGAAAAGATTACCCGTCTGGAATTCTGTTACATTTAATTAGTTTGATAATATTAGATCTGGTCACATTGCTTCATTTCCACTGTCATCTGACGGTCTTTAGTGCTGAGAGAACTAAATAAACAATTTCCTTTTTTCTGTGAAAGGTTACTGTTTCAAAAAGTCCACGAGGAAAGACCATCAGTCTTCATGTTCAAGTTGAAGAAAAATGCACACCCTCATTATACAGCCCATTTCCCCCACACCTTGTTTCACAAAGCAATACAGACCTGTGAAGATTCCGGGGTAGAATACTCCTTCAGCAACCCATGCTTTCTGTAAAAGGTGACTATTGCTTGTCGTAAAAGGCGACTAATGGGATTGGGGGGTCAGGCTCGCTGACTTGGTTGATACATGTCATTGATCCCATTTGCGTGGATCGATGCTCATGATATTAATCACTGGATTGTCTGGTCCAGACTCGATTATTTACAGACCGCAGTCATATAGCTGGAATATTGCTGAGTGTGGTGTTGAACAACAAACAAACCAACCAACCAACAAAGCAATCCTGCATTTAGACACTCATAATTCATATACTTCAACATTGCCTTATGACAGGCATAGCTCTAAACTGAGTCCCGATGGGTGTACTGTTTAATGTAAAACAACGAAAATGACGATTGTAAACATAAAATGAACCATTTTTGGTTGTAAAAAATTGGTGCCTTGTTTCATTAAATCTGTCTCAGTGCTTAGACAATAATAATTCCTATGTTGAAAGATTGGCATACGGAAGTTATGGCTCTAAGATTATGTTTCAAAATGGGGTCTTGTTCACAAAGTGTTTTTTGCATTGGGTTTGTTGTAAGAGTGAGTGAGTGAGTGAGTTGGGTTTAATGCTACTTTTAACAGTATTCCAGTTATATCACGGCGTATCAGCTTAATGTGGGAGGAAAGCCCAAAGTGATGCAGGTCTCAGACGTTTACCACTTTGGTGAAACCCACGAGCACGGGTATTGTGCTGACAAACCTAGAAACATAATCAGAGTTAACCAGGATTCGAACCCACAATCATAGGTTTCTGGCGTGCCTAAGGGATGCAACTCTGAAACATCGAATCGTGGCGCCTTAGACAACTGGGCCACCCATGCCCCCGTTTGTTGTAAGAATGTGTTTAGTATGGAATAAGCAACTATCTTAGCACTAAGATAGGTTTGTTGAACAGTGCCCTGGGTCCTGTTCCACAAAGTGATCTTAACACTGAATTATGACTGTTGTAAGTCTGTGTTACAGTATGGAAATTCTGATCATCATGGCAGTAAGATTTCTTCATGAAACTCAGCCCAGGACAATAACCCAGTGTTAATCACTAAACTAATGGCACAATTGTCTGGGGTATCTT